GTATAGCATACATTATACGAAGTTATACGATTTTTCTCCCCTCCACGCCTCCCGCGGTATTTATGCGGACGAATTTTGCCGCTCGCTTCGCGACGTTTCGCCCGTGTTCACTTAAAATCGCGACCGACCGCCAATTTCAATTCCTTTTGGTCATAGAACTCTCACTTGCTAATTTTTTTCTCAACTGCTTGAAACCTGATCCTGAGAATGTGAATTTCGCAGTAAGATCTTTGTTATCTTCATTATTTATCGAATTCATTTTTTGACTTTTTATTTATAATAGCTATTATAAATTATTTATAATAGCTAATATATTTTTATTTGACTGTTATCTATTGTTATTCATCTTTCCGATCTGAAGTTGTTTTACATCTTGCAGTCGTCACGATACAGTGAAATTCGAAATTTATCTTCTTTTTTTCCGCTTTTTTTGTTCGTCACAAAGGAGTCCTTCACGAGATATCGAATTTTATGCCGAGATCTTTCGCTCCGTCGAGAGATTCTATCAATAATACATTATGTGAATAATCTAAATAGAGCTAACGGGTCTCAGTATCTCTTGCACGTTTAGTTATTGAAATTCGAGTTTTCCTCCTTTTACACTCTCCTCTTTCTCTTCTCCTCACGGCTGCCCTTTACGTTTTTTTTGCTCCGATTCAAGATTCTCTGCCGAGGGGCGAGCTTCTTCCATTCACGTCGCTCGATCCCTCTTTGTCCATTAAGGCTGACCTAAAGCAAAGGGAGTTTCTTCTTAGGTATCAGGCGGGTTTCCTTGAACCGCACAGACCGGAAAATCCGGCCATCTGTCGAGCGGGCTAATTGGTGGCCATCTGTGGATTAATACAATATTCCGACATTAAAAATAAAATTAATTATTTGTCTGCCACAATTAAAATACAGGAGAGCAAAATCACGAGAGAGCGTTTTTAATTAACCATGGACGGGTTCGGGAAACAAAGGTTCGTGAAAGTTCTGAGAAATTGATCGGCGATCATTAAAAGCGTTCATGACTTTCGTCATCGTAGTCATAAATTTTTTTTCGACGTTTTCATGCGCTATTCGTGTCCCCCGTCATAAAACAACCAAAAATACAGCGACGACAGTGTTTGCGCTGCGCAATCGACACGTTTCAATAGGTGATATCGATTTTCGGAGAACGCGCCGTTGCGTAGATACGTACATTGACCTATCATCCTCGCATTGTGACCCAAGGTTGTCCACCGATACGACATTGACAATGGTGAGAACAGGTCTAACGAACGTACTGCATCGTCCCGTGACTTCCTGTCCGGCCTGTGTCATAGATTTGTATTCTCAGCTCACGCTTAGCATTAAAATCACGTAGTAGCAGAAGATAAAATGAGATAACCGCATTATAAGCTTCATTATTTTTTTTAGTTTTATTAAAAAAAAATATTTTAGCATATACAAGTAATGATGAATTTAATATTTCCCACAATTATTTTACAAATAATAATTTATTTAATCTGCATTGTAATTGAGATTCCAAAATTTTTGTTACGTTACGTAAACACGTCATTATTCGTATCGACTCGCCTCGATGTTAGAAAATAGAATGGCACCAAGCGTCCGCTAATTGGAGATTCATTTAACGATACAAATCTTGGCTCGGTACTCACCTGGATGGAAATCTCGTTGTTAGACCTAATTTCCATTGTTGAGCCGGTGGAGCAGTCTGCAACGGACTTTCCACCGGCGCGCCTGATGCGATCGCGTCGGTTCTTGACCGCGTTCCTTATGCAACGGTCCGTTTTTTTTACAAGATCTCCAGGGTCACCCTCCAATTAGACATCGATATGTAATTATAGGCTCGCGTATAATTAGGGGCGGGCACGCCGGCCTAAGAATACATCGATTTCTGTCACTGCGCACTAGCCGCGGGGGTCACTGCACCGTTTATAAACGTCCCGTGGAGATCCTGATGGCAAATTATAAATCGTCTGTAATGAGTGCGCCGCCTTTAAACCGTTACGGGCTCTCGCAGTTAATTCTCTTCTCCGGGCTCTCCGCTGCTCTTTTTGCCAACGTCGAGAGGAAGAGTTCTTGCGATACACCTCGAATCGAATACCTACATCGTGTGTGAAAACATAGCCGCGTGTTTTGCGCGGTTTCCGTTCGGTTGATTAATTTGTTCTTCTTTTTCCTCGAGTTTTTGCGTGAACTGATATTATGATTTTTATGATGTACGGGAATATGCGCGTTTGAACGCGCATCGTGCCACATTTGCAGCGAGGCGAATCTACCGCGTTCTCCATTGTCCGGCTAACGAGACGGCACTTCAATTATTCTCACATTGTTTTGCAAAAACCGTCACCGGCCGTCCGATTATTTTCCGACGCGCCGACCGTCGTCGGTTTTCTGCACGTTCTATTCGTTATTTACGCGCGAAAGCGCGCCGCGACGCGACGCGTCGATATCTCCTCACTCCTTCGTGTTCCGCTGGCCTGATTCCGTTCGCCCGCGAAAACTGCATTATTTATCCGCATCGAGGTTTGTTTCCACGAATCGATTACATCGGGATCATTGCGGAGTATTGAAATGCTCTTTCAAATATACTATTTTGACAAAGAATCGACGCGTTTCACAGCAAAACTTCCCACGTGATAAAAATGTTATATTTTGTTGACGAGGAGATAAAGAAGGGATAGAAATATCACGATGTAAAAACTGTTTCGTTTAAAAAAATCCATGTCTTAAATGTCACAGACTAATATTTTCCGAAGCTAAATGTCACGGATCTAGAATTATTTCACCGCAGAGCGTCGACTTTTTGTCAAAACAATATATAGAATAAGTTTAAAAGTTTACGAAACTATTTTGAAAAATTATATACAAGGAAAAGAAATGAGACTGTATGACTGTATCACGGGATTATTAATAGCGGACTCCAGGTCTCATCTGAGAGAATCTCAGAATGAATGAGAACAGAGTGTCCAGAATGATAATCGCTCGCGGCGTCATTTCTTCGCCGAGTGTTATCGGTCGCTTATCGCGAGCGCTCGCTTGCGGCATGCATACGTTCGAGCGATGCGCATCCGCCACACGTGTCCCGTCAACACCGACGCACGACTCTTGCGCCCGAAGCCACCCACGTTAGCGCTTTGTCTCCGATTACTGAATCGCGTGTTTAGTCTGTGGAAGAGAGAGAGAGAAAGAGAGTGTGTGAAGTGAGCGAGATGGATTGCGGTGGTAGGCGAAAAAATAGACGAGTCGAAAAGGAGGCTGCCACCATCGCGCCGGATGGTGTATCGAAATAATTGAGAGACGAAGCGCGTCGAATGCCGTCGAGATAGTGGGGACGGAACTTCGCGTGAACGTCAGATAATTAGTTTTTATTTTCACTTCGCGATGGCCTTAATACAGCCGCGAGGATGCGGGTCAGTTAATTGATAATTGTGTTTTCAAGCGCGAATGCACTGATGGATAGCTCCTTCGGCGAAGTCGCCCGGGATGGGAAAACGCATCTCGCGTTTTCTGCAATAAGCAGGACGCTCGCTAAGGACGGTTCGGCTATAATTATGAATGTTACATGCATTCGTGTATAAAATCGCCAGCGCGATGTATTGTAATAAACTTTACACGGGAGACTGATAATCGAATTATTAATATCAAAACGCTTATAATTACATTGCTTTTGTTATATAATTATAAATATAGTTATTATTAAAGGTCTGCACACGCGCCAGCTCGCTATAAAGAGCCATCCGCTCCTTCTGATTACAGAGTCCTGGAACGTTGCACAAAGATGTTGGCGGCGCTGGTACGAAGGTCAGCGAGAAAACGGTCGGTGGCGTCGGCACGGCGACCCTCACCACGCTCTCCTCCATTAATAACGCGTCCAACACCGGCCGCAACAAAAACAACCCCGTATCTCACGAGGTAAGCCACAACGCTGCAACTAGGGGGGAGGGGGGGGAGGGGGCGACGGGAGAGGAAGGAAAGAAAGAAAGAGAGAGACGAGATCACCGCGTATTGATCATAGCCGGACGATACGTCATCCGAGGCCCCGCAGATGACTTCGATAATTAACCGGTCCTGCGCTTGGATTTATTGCCCATTAATCCGTTCGCATTCACCGGGCGTGCGCGCGCCCGCGAGGAATCGGCCCGGCCCGATCTTTCCGCCTCGCGATATCTATACGGTCTCCGGCGCGCTTGTGTGTCTGTTTCTCGCACAGGCACACGACATTATTCAGTGCATGACTTATTGGACGCAGCATGAAGTACCGTTCGCAGTTTAGTTCTACTTTTGCCGTTGTCGCTGCGCATAAATGGAGAGCCGAGCGCGCACCTCCCGCATGATAAGCGCTTGGTCGAAATTTTCCCGCGCCACGCCTCTTCTCGCCGGTATACTCTCCAAGTTTCCAATCTCACGCTTCTATATTTTAGAAATACCGATAGTTTCCGATAGAGCTCGGTGTTTATTTGCGCAAATCAGAAAGAGAATAGAATGGATTGCGCGGTGAACGTTGACCAGCGCGTTAACCGCGAACGAAACCTCTTTGCTCGCGCCTTTGTTCGAGAGCACGCGATGCGAAAGCGAAACCCGCGCGCGGGATATAAAAAGGCTTGTTCGCTGACGCGATCCGGGCATCGTTCGCACGTGTCGACTGTTATCACAGGGCACAATGTGAGCGCGGGCGCCGTCGCGCTCGTAGAATTTTATTGACCATTGTTAACGAGGAAAATTGCCGGCGTAGTTTGCGCGCGCGCGCGCTCGCGTATCTGTATATGTTTATCGGGTTTTTATCGAGTACCTGTATAAATTTATGGAGTAGAATTTCGCTGCAACGGCGTCAGTATCGGCGGCGATCGCGGCGAAACCCGCCGCGCGGCTCGCCGCGATTTTCTTAACGGTTTTATCAGCGATTTACGAGGTGGCGAGGGGAGGGAAACCGCGGAAAGAGAGAAACCGGCCGCCGTGTGCGGACTCGCTCGCGACGCTACTCGGATGGAACTAATTGAAAATTGTTGCCGTCGGCTACCTGTTAAGTCGCGATAAATCGTGTCCCCGACGTCGGGTCGTGCGCGCTCGCTTGCGATTGTCTCTTGTTCCGTTGCGGTTTTGGCGATCGCTCTCGCGAAACGGTAGTTTCTCGCGCTTGATTTCGCCGTTTCTCGGCGCACCGTTTCCTTGTTGCGCTATCGTATCTCTGACGCAATTACAAATAGTCCGAATTAAAATTGACATTTTAATAAGCATGTGAAAAGTCCGACAACTCACTGTTATTTTCCTTCCTCGCTGAGCAATCTTCATTTACTTATTTGAGTTGACACTTTACAAAGTAAAATGCGCTTATTAGAATCGCGTACTCGCGATCTCGCGCGATATCGTCATCGCGTCCGCGACTCTCAGTCGATCGCTTTATTCGTCGCGCATTAATCGTCCCGCCAAACACTCATTAAGAGACAGAGAGATTCTTTTCTTCGCGGCCGGTGTCGTCACCGGCTAATCCGTTCGTTCGCGCCGGTATTACGCCTGTCGCGGCCTCGATTCCGCCGCTGTATCATTTCTTGCACCTCCGTGACGCGAATCGCCGCGTCATCGTCGTTTGTCTCCTTTAATGCCCCGCCGCGTTTTTTCGCGGGTCTATTACGTGACCGAGACGATTGAATTTCGTTGCGCTCGCGTTGCGCAATGCGTTCGCGATCCTTCATGCGATGCGTGCCGCTGTCAGGAGCGATTTGTATATATACGCAAGAACCGTTCTCGCACACAAAGCCGTGTGCATACAAAGAAAAACTTTTTACCCCGCGGCTCCGCGGTCCGTGCACTTAATGCGCTGATGTTTTACATGCGCCTGTGAGAGAGAGAAACACACGCAAGCGATACACACGGACGCGGTTCACCGTTACTCGCTTGCATGCAGCGCGCATGTATTGCCCTGCGGTCTATTGAGCTCCCGAACTAATTCATACATGAATTTAGAAAGTCCAGCGGGCGGGATTGGCAGCTAATTGTTGTATCGCGCTCTTGTGCAACCGCGGCGGGCGCGAAAGCCAACACTCGCCTCCACAGTTACCGTCATTCTGTAAAACGAAGGCGCTCATTAGCTAACCGGCCCGAGGCGCGGATTGACGCGCCCGCTCGTTGTTGCGTTTAGTCGAGAGTGTAATTATTATGCGGCTTTCACGTCTCCTCTCATTGATTTGTTAATTTTCCTCGGTGACTCTCTTAGGCTCCGCAGTCGTCATTTGTTGATAATATTAAAATTTATTCGATACTTTTGTATCAATGACCTTTTGATGAACGATAACGCACAAGTGTTCAATAATAACAAGAGTAACGAAGTGTGGGCATCAATAGCTCAATAGATATTGATCGTTGGAGTCTTAGATGATTATGAAAGCCCTCCTTTGGCAATCCCGAGGGACATCTTGAACGTAAATGGCTCGTATAGACGGTGCCCTTTCCGGAACGAGGCGTGACTCACGTCTCTCTGAGACATCGAGTGGCGTGTCGTAACAGAGATAAAAGTCGTACTACTCATAATATACCGGGAATATTATAAATATCGGCCGAACGGAAACCGCAGACGGTGCATGATTCAAGCTAAATTTTTTCTCAACTCTTTATCAAAAAGCAATCTTTAATCTACTTGATGGATTGTGGAAATTATGCGATTAGTATCGCGTATATCTCTGCGACATAATCTTATAGTGTAATCTATAGTTTACAAATATTGTGCGCAGCACGGACTTACGTAAAAGAGCCTGCGATATTCGCCGCCGTGATAATTCATACGCAACTCGGATAGGTTTACATCTTGCGCGGAATGATAGATCGTGTAAGATAACGCACGAAATAACTCACTGTATATCTGTATATTCGATCGACGCATCGGCTGGCGATGCGTAGTCCGCGAGAGATTAATTATTATTATTGATTCGAGTTCAGTTGAAACGAATTTTGTTGTTTGCACACACGCATTGGCAACGAACGCCAATGCAATTTGATCCAAACATGCAACATTATCCGTGCAAGTTTTGCGTATGTGCTCTTCAAAATCCCTGAGCGTATGACGATGCGAAGAAACGCTCGGCTATGCTATGTAATTGCATATGTGGTCCGCGCAAAGTTTGTACACCGATGATTGTTTCGGATTTCCTCGTTGACATGCATCATATGGCATGTATGGTTGCGCTGGCGATCAAAATTGCGGCGTCCAATTACGATATGGGGCGATCCGTTGTGTCTAACATATTCGTGATAATTTATGCGGAAATAAATTTCGTCGCGTCGACAGTTCGCTTTTAAATTTATTGCCGTCCGTAATCGAAGCCGAACGTTGAATATCGAAATATAGTTGAATATTTAATGAATTTTCCGCGCTGTCCAATAATAAAAATCAAATTTGCGCCGAGCAAACAATTCGCAGGGAAATTTTAATTTCAAGAGAAAATTTTATAACCCGCTCATTTTGTCTTCATTGTTCATTTCGCGTTATTTTACACAATGCGCGATAATTAATCGTTAGTAAACTTTATTCGGCTATTCCATTTCGCTCCGTCACGCAAAAAGTTTAAATTCGCAACTTACGGCGGCCGAATTTTTCGGAGATCTCGGACGATCGACAGACGGCGAGGGAGTAATTGGAAACGCAGACGGCGTCCTCCTGTCGTCACCGTCGCCGTTAATTAAATCTGCGGTACTTAAGCGTCGCGTGCGCTCTGACGTCGAGTCGAAAGATGGTCGATTGTTTGCGATTCGCGGCTGCGTTTAAACGCGACATCAAGGATTCAGTGCGTGAGTTAATATAGTCGCGCCGTGCTACAATAGCGAGATCCGCCGTGCAAACACGAACGTCATGCGACCATAAGAAGCCTTAGCGGGAACCGTAAGCGTGCAACAAGGCGGTGTAACCCGATCGCCTCGCATTGTATCTCGGATTTCGCGATCGCATAAATACGCTACCCGCGGGCTACTTTCGATGTTAACGATCCTAGGCAAAAGTAACACAACGCCGAGCGCACAGGCGTGTGCGTTCCCCCCGCTCGAACTCGTCTTGTAAACCGGCGCCGCTCTCGACTCCGTTGGGGGTGTAAAACCAAGGGCGACAGGTGGAGTGGGGGCAATTGCCGTCAATATCGACATTGAGGGAAACGACATAATGATCGGTTCTCCTGCCGCGTGAGTATCGGCTATTAGGGTTTATGACCGCTAAATAGAGCGATCTTCGTACTTGAGGTAATTTTGCTAAACGACGACGTTTGCTTCTTGGCGTGCTTCGCAGTCGCGCGCGGCTTAAAATATGAAATATATTTCGAGTGGGACGCCCGTGTGTTCCTTGAGAGAAACTCCGGCTTATCCTTTTCTCTCCGCGCCGCTCTTGTGTAATACACGTGTAACATCTTCTGTTCTATTGTTAATATGATATTCTCTCACCTCCGTCCTGCAATTTATTCTTGCGCGCGCACTCGTGGACGGTTAGGTATGCGAACGAGCATAAAGATCCATCGTCGGGTAAGAATTGAGACACAATTCCGTATTTGATAATTATCCCCGCCGCGTACTTGTTAGGCGGGAGACAATGCGACGCCTTTATGTCACCGCAAACAATTGGCGATATCACCGGTGTTCATTATAGCTCGCTTGCGATCCTCCTGCTTTGCAGCCAGGAGGCATGAAATACGTCTTTCGCTTTCTACGAAGCAATTTGCCGCAATGGAAAATATATATTCAATTGACGCGTTAAGCGAGAAGGAGTCAACAAGATTTCCACAGAGATTTTCTTCTCTGAGGCTGCAATTTAATTAAAATCATTTTGCTTTCAAATGTTTTATTTTAATTTAATCGAGCTGAATAATTCAACCTCTCTTAACTTAATTAACATCAGAATGTAATGAATGAAAAATAGATATGGCTCCTAATTTTAAAAT